GTGTGTGTGTGTGTGTGTGTGTGTGTGTGTGTGTGTGTGTGTGTGTGTGTGTTTTCCCCGTAGTGGCTATGCTCTTTTAAATGCCCACGTGCAATGTGGTGAGCATCCCAGTCCTCCCACATCTTTACAAAATTTGTCATTACTCACGTTTTGGCCTGACCATACTAAATGACGCAAAGGCACTGCATTGTCTGGGTATTCTGGCAACTAGATAGTGAAGATCGTTTTGTGTGCTTGTCTTTGGTGATAAGTGAATTCATATCTTTTGTCCATTTTTAAACTAGGTCATCTGTCTTCCTGTTCTGCTCATAAGAGTTTTATTTGTTTGGGGTCACTTGTTAGCCTTTTGGGTAAGATCAAGGATGGTATCTATTCCTTTCTGCTCTGTGCTCTTATTGTAAGTCTTATCAGGTGTATAACTTGAGGAAAGTTTCTCCCATTCTGGCACTTCTGTTTATTTTAAAAACAAAATTTGAAGTTCACATGGTGAATAATGAAGTTTTAACATTTTTATCATTAATTATTTAGGTCTGCATCTACGCTCAGTGCATTTTTGTGCATGTGGTGTGTCTAAAGTCATCTTTTGTATGTGAAGATTCTTTTGTTCTAAATCCTAGCTGACCATCACCATAAGAGTTTATTATCAGTCTTTCTGTGTTGACTGTTGTCTGCACCTAGTTTTCACCTCAGTTTACACTGTCTTAATTACTTTAACATTTTTAAATCAAGAAATGTAATTTTTTTTCCTGTTCTTTTTCTTTTCCTAATAATTTTTGGTTCTTATGATCCTTTGTCTTTCCATGAAAGCTTGAGACCAGCTTATAAATTTTTTCAGGAAGATTCATTAGGATTTTTTAGGTTTATGGAGAACCTACAAATTACTTTGGGGAGACTTACCATCCTAGCAGTTTTTGCATTGTCTAAGTCACATATGAGTGTCTCACAATTTATTTAGATTTATAATTCTCCCATAAATACATTATAGTTTTTGCTGTTTTGAGTAAGGTTTTCAATACAGTTTTCAGATATCTCAATGCTAGAATATAGAAATGACCTTTCCCTCACTGCTCTTACATCCAATATCCTGGCAGAACTTATGAATTGCAGTAGCTTCTAAATTCTTTAGGCAGGACCATGTCACTTGCAAATAAAAAGTTTTACTTCTCCTTTTCCAGGCTACATTCTTTCCTTTCAAATATTTTACATACACACACACACACACACACACACACACACACACACACACACACAGCATAAGCATTCTATTTAAAACAAATAAAACTGGTGGCATATTTTGTTTTTATCCTTAAATTTCTGTCTTGAAAGCCAGCCCATTTTGGAACCTAGTGTGCTTTGGTTACACAAGTGTGGTATGTTACCTGTCATTGTATTGACTTTACTGCCCTTTTTGTACTTGAGCATTTTTGCTTTTTAACAAACATCATAGCATTCTGAAAGTTTTACACTAGTTGAGTTTTTGTCTTTTTTTTTTTTTTTTTTTGTAGCCTCCCATCAACCATCAAACCTTTTTTGTTTGTTTGTTTTGAAGATGGTATCTCCCGTTCTTGCCCAGACTAGGCTTGAACTTGGGATCCTCTCACTGTAATGTGAAGAGCTGAGATTTTATCTTTTCTAGTATTTCTTTTGTTGATTTTTGTAGTTGTTCTTTCTTTTTTCATGTTTGCCTTTATTCATTTGTTTGTTTTGAGACAAGGCCTCACTGAGTCAGTCAGGCTAGCCTCAGACAGGACACAGTCCTCCTTCTGCAGCCCCCCAGTTGTGGTTATAGGTAAGAGCCAGTAAGTCAGCCCTTTCTATACTTCCTGTAACTTCAGGAATAAAAAAATTTAGTTCCATTGTAAGTGAAGAAACTGGCACAAAGAGACAGTTTTGTGTCTTGAGAGAAAGGCAGGACCTAACATTGGCTCAGGTCTTAGGAGTCTAGGCCTAGTGCTGGCTTTGTGTATTTCTGCTGCCCCCAATCCTGTATCAGATTTTTTTACAATTCTGTCTACACAGTGTTCCTGCCTTTGATTTATATAATTATCTCTACTAAACATTCTTTTATTTGATTTGGGCCAAAGCTCAAAAGTTCCTTGTGAGCTTTTCTGCCACTGAGGCACTCTGTATGTCTTATTATATAGAAATTCTACTTTCCAAATCTCCAAGTCATTGACACAAAAAAAGGCAAGAATGGCTGCAGCCATACCTAGAGACATAGGACATGCCCTGGGGATTTGTGCAGTGCAAAATGTACACTCAGGCAGGCTTCTGAATGTTGAAATAATGCTAGGGTAAGGGTGGACTAACTGACTACAGTCTACCAGTATGTATTGTCATTTCAACCCTTAGGACTCTATCTAGTTCTCAAACATGCTGTCCTTTTGTTCAGATATAAGTATACTAGACATGCTGCCACGCAATGGCTCCGTCTACCAGGAGGACAGCTAACTTGGCCGGCCAGTTTTTGTCATGTTTATCATGCTTGGACATTTGCTCACCTTTGGCTTTCACATTCCTGTGGATTATCATATTGATGATCAATTCTAAATTTGACAGGTCAGTGGTGTTAAACTCACCAGTTTACAATTTTTACCTTTCTGAAAATCAAACTGTTTCCTGCATTCAAATGTTTCCCTTCTTCCAGGATTCTGGGCTAAGTTTCCAGAGGCCTTAGTTTAGCTCATTCAAAGGAATAGATACTTTGCTTGAGCTGCAACATGCCCCTATCAAACTTGCTTATGAAAATGTCCTTTGACACTTACCAAAAATGAAGGCCAAATCTCTCCTTAGAGATGGTCTTTTTCTCCTCCCTAGGATTCTCCCTCCCCCCAGGACATTTTATGATGAGTAGGCTTAAGAAACACTCTTGGACTGGAGAGATGTCTCACTGGAGAACACCTGCTGTGCCATCATGCCAAGCAGTGTTCAGATCCCAGCACCTGTCCAACAAGCTGAATCCCTTATATGCCTATAGTCCCAGGTCTGAGGGAAGCCAAGCAGGATTGCTAGAACTTCCTGGCTACCGATCTAGCTGAGGATATGTGAGCCCAAGGTTCAGAGAGACACCTTGCCTCAGAAGAATAGATTGAGAGTGATGGAGGAGGATGCTGATGCCCTCTTCTGGCCCCCATGTTTGTGTACTTGCTTACAGACAGTTACTACTTTTTAAAATTTATTTATTTTTATTAATTACAGTTTATTCACTTTTTATCCCAGCTGTAGCCCCCTCCCAATCCCACCTCTTTCTTCTCCTCCCATGCTCTTCCCTAGTCCACTGATAGGGGAAGTCCTCCTCCCCTTCCATCTGATCCTAGCCTATCAGGTCTCATCAGGACTGGCTGCATCCTCTTCCTCTGTGGCCTGGTAAGGCTTCTCTCCCCTCAGGGGGAGATGATCAAACAGCCAGCCACTGAGTCCCTGTTCCCATTACTAGGGAATCCAGTGTAGCTGCCATGGGCTACATCTGTGCAGGGGTTCTAGGTTATCTTCATGGATAGTCCTTGGTTGGAGTATCAGTCTCAGAAAAGACCCCTGTGCCCAGATTTTTTGGTTCTGTTGTTCTCCTTGTGGAGCTCCTGTCTCCTCCAGATCTTTCTATCTCCCCCATCTTTCATAAGATTCCCTGCATTCTGCCCAAAGTTTGGCTATGAGTCTCAGCGTCTGTTTTGATTCCTTGCTGGGTAGTGTCTTTCAGAGTCTTTCTGTGGTAGGCTCCTGTTCTGTTCCCTGTTTTCTCCCTGTTTTGGTGTCTATCCTGTTTGCCTTTCTGAATAAGAATTGAGCATCTTACCCAGGGTCCTCATTCTTGATTAGCTTCTTTAGGTGTACAGATCTTAGTATGATTATCCTATGTTATATTTCTAATATCCACTTATAAGTGAGTATATACCATGTGTGTCTTTCTTCGTCTGGGATACCTCACTCAGGATGATCTTTTCTAGTTCCCACCATTTGCCTGCAAATTTCATGATTTCTTTGTTTTTAATTGTTTTTAATTTCTTTGTTTTAAATTCCATTGTGTAAACTTACCACAATTTCTGTATCCATTCCTCTGTTGGGACATCTGAGTTGTTTCCAGCTTCTTATTATGAATAAAGCTGCCATGGACATGGTTGAGCAAATGTCCTTGTTGTATACTTGAGCATATTTTGGATATATGCCTAGGAGTGGTATAGCTGGATCTTGAGGTAGCACTATTCCTAATTGTCTGAGAAAGTTTCAGATTGATTTCCAAAGTGGTTGGAGGAGAATGCTGATGCCCTGTTCTGGCCTCCATGTTTGTATACTTGCTTATAGACAATTATTCCTTTTTTTTTTTTTTTTAAGAAACAGTTTTATGGAGTATTCAGTTACATTTTGAACTTTTCCTCACCCACCAGTGTCAGCTTTCATCTCTTAACCTTCAGTGCAACTCATTTGGGATTTCTTAAGAGGCACTGCAGCTCTTTGGTATCTGTCTGCCATATAAGAAGTCTGAATCTGCCCTGATTGAGGGCTCCTCTGTGGACTTCATCACTTTAGTCAACAAATTTATTAACTTCAGAATTACCTACAGGTGTCAGTCAAGAATTTCATTTTGGAGATGTGTCCAGCTAAAGTTTAGCTAGCAACTTCTTGAGTTCTCTCAAATCCCAGGGAACTGCCCAGCTCTCTGTATTGCAGTTGCCTGGGCTTCCTGCAGCATTCTCCCCATCACAGATGCTCGGTCACTCAAGCTGTTTTCAGCTGTGTCTCACCAGTTTGAAGAGAGAAGGCTTCGGGGCTTGCCAGCTCGCATGCCCGTGTGTAACTATACCTCTGGCTGCAGATCACTCTGAGAGAGTCTCTTTTCACTTTTCCAGGTGCCAAACCCTATGATTTCTTCTGACTCCGTTTCAACTGCTGGTAGTTTCCTGAGCTTGGATTCTACTCTTTCCAATGAGGAAAATGTGCACATGTTAAACAAGGGTGTGCAAGCTGGTAAATCTTTTGAATTTAACTTTTGCATTGATTCAGTAATGCCACTTCAACATATTTAACTCATGATAAAGGGTATAAACAGTATAATTCATACTTCACTCATGATAAAAGGTATAAAGATTAAAAGTACCTGCCTATTGAGATGCAATTTTCCTGTATTAATTGCAAAAAAAATCCAAGTTTATAAGCAAGAGTTTAGGGAAACGAGTGCCTTCATAGCAGAGGTGCAACTAATTCACAAGGCCTGTGAAAAGCAGTTTGGCAGTTCTTATCAAATTCACTTTGACCCAGCGTTTTTGCTTTTGGAATTTGGCCAATAGATAGATACACTTAAATATGTGTAAAATAGTACTTGTAAAAACTAGTGTTGCTATAGTAGAAATTTAAAATCAACTTTGATAGCCATCTGTAATGGTGGAATTAATTATTGTAGTTTCATACAAAGATTATTATACATTATATAAAGAAGTTTTATATAGAATGAAGAAGCTCTGTCTACGGGCTGGAGAGACGGTCAAGAGCACTGGTTGCTCTTGCAGAGGGCCGGGGTTCACTTCCCAGTGTACAGATAAAGGTTCCCAAATACCTGTGATTCCAGTTCCAGGGAATCCAACAGCCCTGCAGGCATTGTACACACATGTGCATACATGGCGCAGACATGCCTGCAGACAGGACACCAAACAAAAACTTACTTCACCAATACAACAGCATACATAATTTAAAAGAAAACTCAAGGGACAGAACAATGACAATTTACTGCTGTGCATTTTGTAAAAACAAAGGAGAAAAGAGAATGGCTCAAGTGAGTAAGTTTTCTGAGGTCCAGAGTTGTAAACGAAGGCTGGAGAGCAGGCTAGGAGGATTTGAAGCATGCTTGAAGAGAGTTTTTGATTTTGTAAAAGTCAGTCTCTTTTTCCTCTTCCTTCAAGTCTTGAGCTCAGTATTATCACCTTTTCCTTACCGGGTGATTGGCAGCAGGTCCAGAAGTACTTACTGTCTTGCTCCCTTGGTGTCGGAGTTGAAGACCTAAACTCATAAATCAGCATTTCTTTTTTCTCTCTCATAGTTAAACCCACTTAGGAATTAACCCTCTCACTCTCTCCCCTTTTTCTGCACCTGTCTCCATCGCCTTTTTTCCTCTCTTCCTCTCCTTTGCCCTCCCCTCCATGCAGCATATCTTTGAGTTGCTAACAAGGGCTCACCCCCTGACTGGAGTAAGCCTGCCAGCCAGGCTTCGAGTGTGCTCCCAGAAACATTGTCTTTCCCCTCAGGTAAATTGGAGATTGTGACTGGTGCCAAAAAACACACTCGGGATGTTGGGGTGACTTTCCCAAGCCCGGCTTCTGGTGAGGCCAGATTGGAAGAGGACAGTGGTGTGACTTCTTGGCCAATAGAAAAAGCCAAAGAGAAAAAGTTCCTTACCCACTATCTGCGGGCCAGAAACTTAGGGAAGAAGCAGCCAAGTCCCCATGAAGGTCAGTTTCTGACTCCAGGTAGCAGGGAAATGCACAGAGCCATGTCCCAGAGTCTTGCAACACTGAGATCCCTTGCTTTTGAGGACTCTATGTTGACTCCACCTGCCACTGACCACCACATTGCCATGTTTTGAAAGTAACTAGAACTTCATTTCGAGAGTCCTACTGTGGTTAAGAACAACTCAAGGGTTGTCATCCCCAACAGAGGAGTCCTTTTAAGTCACTATCACATACATGTCTTTGATATAGTTGGGCAGTTATTAAAAAAATAATAAAACTTTTCAGTTTCTTCTTGAAAATATTTCCTGTAGGAGTCTCCTGGTTTGTTCCTGTGGAAAATGTAAAGTCTGGATCTAAGAAGGAAAATCTGCACAAGATTTACAGCCCTGGCATCTCCTGGTTTGAACCAGTAACCAAAACCAAACCCTGGAGGGAGCCACTAAGGGAACAAAACTGGCAGGAGCCATGCCTGATGAGTCATGGGGTCCAGGGAGGCTCAGGTGGAGGAGGTGGCTCGGTTTCTCTTAGGCCGTTTGTGAGAGTCACCCTGCAGGTGGGTACAGTAACTTCAGGTTGACCGTAGCCGCACATGGGTGGGGATGGGTGGCTGGCGTGCTGGGGGTTTAGTTGTTCAGTCATCCTCAGGATCTGAGGAGAAGGGAGGGTTCTGATAGGACATTGCTCGCTGTGTGCAGGGTTCTCTGTGTGGGATATCAAGCCTAGTGTTTGGGTCAACACTGCATTGTCCTAGGACCTTACCATTTAGCCACAAATTCACCCTTGAGCTCTTCCCCCTTGGTGGCTAAAGAAAATACTTAATGATGAATTTGAAGGGAATGAACTGACTTCTGTCTCATAAACATTTGGAAGAGTTGCAAGTGACCCCACTTTAGTTCTCAGCTTTTCCCAGAGGCATTTCTGTGCTTCCTTTGATTATTCCTGGGGCCCCTTCCCTTAGGCTCTCTAAACCTCTGGGGCAGGTGCTGTTTTTTTCTGGGCGCTTGGGCCATGTCATTAATATGAGGCTTTTTCTTACCCTTAGGAAGCACTTCAGTTTCACAGACCTGACTTCATCTCCCGCTCTCGGGAGCGGATGAAGCGCCTGAAGTTACTAGTCCAAGAGAGGAAGCTACAGAACCTGCTCCAGAGCGAACGGGAGTCTCTGTTCAACACTGTGCAGCCCCTGCCCAGGAGAGGTACACCCTCATGTCACTTTGAGAGTGGCCGCTGCTGTGTGAGGAACACTGCTAGCTGCCAGTCCTCGGCGAGGTTGCCAGATGTGGCTTTGCTTGCTGAGACTTGCGTCTCCTCACTAGACTGGCGCAGCCTAGCTTTTCACACTTCGGTGACCCCAGTAAGCCAGCTCTGCAGGCCTTGTCACCACATCCATGCTACCGTAAAGATGGCTCTTTTGCAAACTAGTTTGCGTTCATGGTTTCAGAGTGTGATAGGAGAATAATAATAGTCCACAGACCTGAGGTCTGCCCAGCACTGTTCTCTCACTGTATTAAGGCACTGTATTAAGACTCACTTCACCATTTAAGTGAATAGCTCACCCAAATTCCACTCTGCTTAGTGAAAGCCCAGCTTTGCAGCCAAGGTCTGTTCTCTTAGTAGTGGAACTGAGTGGCAGTAAAATAACACAAGACAGCTGTGAACATGTTAAGCACTGCCTACAGCTGCCTTACCTATCAACTACTCTGGGCCTGCCACAGTGGGTTTGGGTTGCGCTCACCATCCGTCTAGTGCAGTTCAGGCTTGGGCCTTGCCCTTGATCTTTACTCATGTACATGTGCTGCCAGCCCAGGTCAGGGCCCAGGGCCCAGGGCCCAGCAGCTTCTTGGCACAGCTATATGCGCAACACCTCTCCTTACACTCACTATCTGCAAATAAACCTCTTCTCTTGTCTAGTCCACCTGGCCATCCAGAAGACCAAGCCTATTGGAAAGAATGAAATGATTCAGAGGACCAAACGGTAAGCCCGAAAGAATAAGAGTAACTACGCAGCTATAGGCCAGCCACCAGGTGATCAGGAGCCCTGCTTCCCAGCCCCCAGACAAGGTTGCATGCTCAGTTGGAAGCATGTGAGGTTAGCTGTGAAGCTGTTTCTCACAACAAGATAGTCTTCAAAAGGGCAAGGGGAATACCTGGGGTGAGCGTGTCTTTATTAGAAATCTGGATGAAACTAGAAGATACTTTGAAATAAAAGTAAATATTTATTTTGGGCTACCTTCTTTATCTTAGCAATATCATTTCTAGGAGTTTTTCCAACAGAGTATGAAGTAATGGATTGCTCTCCACGACATTAAGTAAAACTTAAGAACGTGGGTTCCAGAGGCTTGTTCAGTTTCAGTCCACTGCTGCACTGGCAATCTTTAAAAGGGAATGCCTTTGCTTTCAGAGCTGTGTAGACCTGGGCATGGATAAAATATTTCTGTAAATTGCAAAAGACTTGATAATAGTGGTTACCTTTGGGAAACAAGAACTGAATGGTTGGGGTACAGGGGAAGGGGTGTTATTGTTGTATTAAGATTTATTTACTTTTTGTGGTACAAGACTGTAATCCCTGCACTCAGGGAGACAGAGGCAGGTGGATCTTTGAGTTCAAGCCTGGTCTACAAAGCAAGCCTAGGACAGCCAGGGCTACGCAGAGAAACCCTGTCTCGAAAAAACAAAACAAATTATTTATTATTTTGTGTATTGAGTGTTTTGTCTGCTTATATGTAAGTATACCACATGCATGCGGTGCCCTCAGGGGCCAGAGGAGGGCGTTGGATTTCCTGGAGCTGGAGTTAAGACATTTGTGAACTGCCACATCATTGCTAGGAATTGAACCTGCAAGAGCAGCATGTACTTTTAACCATTTCTCCGGACCACTTTCTACACAGAGACTTTTTAAATCTTGATCCATTGCAGGCAGTTGATTGTGAGAATGCCATTGAAAAACTAAGTTACAGGTTACATTTCTAGGGCTCACTAGGAGATGGCTTTAATGAGAAGTCATGTAGTTGTGTGGTGCTTCTGAAGCGATGGGTTGTTTGGTTTTTGTTTTTGTTTTTTATTGACGTAGGTTTGTTTGAGACAAACAAACAAATGTATATGGCCTTAGTTGGCTTGGAACGTGCTCTGTAGACCAGGTTGGCCTGGAACTCATAGAGATCCTCCTGTCTCTGCCTGTGCTTCCTGAGTGCTGGGACTAAAGGCGTGCGCCACCACCTTGGCACTGCTTCCTAGTCATTGGTGTAGGGAGAGTCTTTGTGTACCTTTATGCCTGATAACCTTGCTGCTTTCTATCTTTCCACTCATGCCATTTCTAAGAATTTATGAGCAGCTTCCAGAAGTGAAGAAGAAGAGAGAAGAGGAGAAGAGGAAATCAGACTATAAATCCTACCGGCTGCGAGCTCAGCTCTATAAAATGGTTGGTTGAGTTGACACTGTCCCTGGAGGGATGGATCAGGCTCATCAGCGGAGGGAAATAGAAACAGCCTGACTCACGCTTTTGGGAAGCAGAGTGACTGAGAGCTGCGATTTCACACACCAGGCAGTAGTTAGCCTTCAAATCAGAGTGAGCTGTGAGCCACCCTTCCTGTGTCTGCAAGTACACCAGACTTCACACAGGCAGTTAAGCCCTCATAGCTGAACTGCACAAAGTACCAGACTTGTGATCCCCTAGAGTGAGTCTCTAGAACTATGTAAACACACTGGACGGTGTCCCTGAGTCATCAGGGAGTGAGGGCTAGAGAGTGGAGCCTGCCAAGAACCTCCTGGGGCAAATTTTATTAGATGCCACACTGGTCACTTGCGGGGAGGGTCCTGTCCTTCACAGTTTCCTTTTTCCTTACTGTAGTTTAGAGGAATGTGAAAGTCACAAGCTGAATACCAGACCAGACTATTTTGAGGTTTGAAGACTGTGTCTGGAGCACCCAGAAGCCCGGGCATTGTGGGGGAGACGCCAGGCACTGCATGGCCTGCCTGCCGTGTTAGCATCACTCAGGCCCTTGCTGTGTTGGTCAGCCTGTCGGCATTCTGGATTATCTGTTTCCATGGAGAAGTGATAGGTATGCTTATAGACCATCTTTCTAAAATGCTTCAGGAAACACTTTCTTCCTGATTGCCACTGTCAGTAGGTGAGTAAGATTCACAAGGTTTAGGGACAGTCGTCTAAGACTCCTCAGCAGTGTGCTAAGATGAGGATGACCAGCTACCTGTGATGGTAACCACATCTGACTTCTTTCCTGTGTTTTCTTCCACAGAGAATAACCAATCAACTCCTGGGGAGAAAAGTGCCTTGGGACTGACATAAGACTACTTTCCTCAGAGCCTAAGAATAGTTTTTTATGAGTCCAAAGAAGCTAATTTATACTTTAATGAGTGTGATTTAATAAAGCTTTGTGTTTGTCTATGTGTAATTTAGTAACTGTGGGGTCTGGGACAGCAGCAGAGAAGCTGGTAGTTTGGAAACAGACCTCCCTTTCCCCACTGAGACCTTGCCCACAGGCCGTGTGTAGGCATACTTTAAAAAAAAATGTATATGTTTCTTATATCTTTTTCTCCATACTCTACTCCAATCCCTTAACACTCCAACACCAGGTAGGAGAGAGAAAGGGTTAGTGGGAGAGGGGCACAGTTCTCTTAACTGCTTCCTGCTGGTCAGAGTCATTGGGTGTGTTGGAGCTAGTCTAATTCTCATTTCAGAAGACCTCCAACTTCTTGTCTCACAACAGCAATCAGGAGCAGCAAGGGGGAAACAAGAACAGCCTTGTTCTTTCCCTACTCCACACTCTCCAGAGTCCTCAGATTTAAACTATCTGCAGCTGGCAAAAAGTGCCTCTCAGAGCCCAGATGAAGCTAATAGTCTGTTTCTGTGGACCACCTGAATCAGTCCCACATCCCACACCTGCGACCAAAACAAAATCATTTTTGTCTCCACAACAGCCATGCTTCACACCGGAACTCTGAGTTCTAGAAGAGGGAGCCCCTGTTTGTATGCGCTTTTATACCTTTAGAAAATAAATCACTGCTGATTGACTCATAGTGAAACAAGCAGCAAAAGGTAATGTCTCTCCCATGTGGAGCGGAGCAGGGAGCTGGCAGATGTGCCCTGCTGTGTGGAGGGACGTGGGCTCAGAATGGAGTCACAGCGTGCTGTGGTGGTGTGTGCTGCTCACTGTGGGCTTGTTTGGGATGTTTGGTCCATGGCCACACATCACCTGTCCGGAAGGCTTCCAGCCTTTGGCAGGTCTTCCTCCACTGGCTCATTTGTGGAATTGAAGCCTCAGACCACCCATCATCTCACATGAAACTATTCACAATGTAGAACAACTTCTGGAAAAGAAGTATCGATAAATGATTCCCACGATGCTGTAAATCTAGTGCCTGGGAACAACACAGACCTGGAAACCAGCTGAAGCCCAAAGCTGAGGAACAAAGGTGCTGTAAAGTCAGCAGCCGCCTCCCACCTCTACAAGGGTAGGTCCAGCCAGACCAGGGGACATCTCAGATGACTTTCTGAGATGGCATGAGAGCAGGTCCTGCCCTCAGTGCCCTGTGAGTAGTCAAGTTGTGCAGCCCAGACTCGTGCTTGTACCCAGAAAGATCCCAAGTCAGGTGCTCGGTCACCTGTGAAATGTCAGCAGCTCTGAAACCCTTTCAGCTCCAAAATGCTATGACTTTGTTCTTTGTGGGTTACCATTTGGAATAGAAATAGAAAGCAATGGTTGTCTCAAACCCCAGTTTGCAAGGCAACTTAGACAGGATGGAAATAATGAATGTGATTCCTTGGGCCCAGCATTGAATTGTTCTGAGCATTCATTCAGGTCTGGTATCCGGGAGTGCACAAAACCAGGGGGAGCTGGAGCCTCCCTGCTCCTGTATGCAGAGGTCTTTTGTAGCCCTGTACTCATACTACCTGTGGTCCCCTCTGCTTCCAGACCACAAGATGGTTTCCCTACTGTGCACAGGTCCATCTATGCTATGTATTTGCAGAAGGAAGGGTTCCCACCTCAGGCTTCCCTCCTAGGGCCGGCCATTAGACACCCCTGCTCTCCCTCTGCCAGCACACGCCCTGACAGTGCTGTCACACCTCTTACTCTGCTGAAAGCCCAGGCCAGCTGCACACCTGCTGCTGCTTCTAACTTCGGTGGATTTGCTCTAGAGTTGCTTGGCCACTGCTTACAGAGCCCAGCTTTGGAATCTAGGAGATACATCTTGGGTATGTCTTCAGAGGCATTTCCAGAGAAGTTTAAGTGAGGAGGGATGTCCCACCCCGAATGTGGATGACACCGTCTGATGGGCTGGAGTTCCAGCTGCATAAAAAGGAGATGAGTTGAGCACCAGAGGCATCGTTTCCCTGCTTTCTGTGCTTTTGTGGACCTGTGTGACCAGCCCCCACATGCTTCTGCCATCACAGCCAGGCTGCGCTCCCCACCATGCCTTCCACACGGTACACTGTACCCTCAGATTTTGAACCCAAGCAAACTCCTGACATTGTTTCTTCTTAGCTATTTGATCACAGAAATAAGACAATTACTAATACCCCAAGTAGTATTCCCGGTGCTGGGGGCTGGGAGTAGGGACTGTGCACATGCATGTAGATACTTTACACTTGTTCTCAGCCTTGCTGTTGAGCAGGCAGCACACAAGCCATGACTGAAATCCTTTATAGAAGGGCAGGTGGGGTGTCCTGCACAGCAGACCCACAGACTTCTCTCTTTAATAGTATTTTATTATTATTATTATTAAAAAGAAAATCTACACTAGAGCTTGTTGGATAGCCCAATCAGTAAAGTGCTTGCCATATAGCACGAGGACCCAAGTTCAACCCCCATCACCTATATAAAAATCTGAGGCAGTGTTTGTTGTAATCCCAGTTCCTGGGAGATGACAGGCATATCCCAGGAGCTTGATGGCCAACCCACCTAGATTAGCTCCAGGTTCAGTGAGAAGTGGGGGTCTGGAGAGATGGCTCAGTGGCTGGGAACACTTGATGCCCTTCTAGAAAACCCGTGTTTCATTCCCAGCACCCATGTGGCAGCTCAACCATTTGTAACTCCAGTCTCAGAGAATCTAACACCTGGTCTCTAAGAGCACTGCCTGTCCATGGTGGGCAAACATACATATAGGCAAACACCTATACGCATAAAAATTAAGTTAAAATGTTTTTAGTATTACAAAAGTTTATTAAGCAAGTTTCATATGAAAACATACATGACTTGATGCTACATCATAGTCAAACACCCCTTGAGGAGTGAACTCCACTGAACAGCTATTTAGACTTCTGGTATCAATATGACCATCAATCACAAGATTCTTTGAGATCAAAGTACCATGGTATTCCTTGTACATGTCTAGCACCATTTAACATCCTCATAAATGTCAGCTCTGGCAGGTGGGCCTTGCTCATGGCAGAAGTGACTGCTCTCACACTTATGCACCTGGCATAAGTTTTAAAAAGTGAAGTGGGGAGCAATTAAGGAAGATACCTGACATGACCTCTGGCCCCCATGTGCTCACACAAATGCATAGGCACCTTCACGTACATGTGCGCACACACAAAGGTGCATACACACATAATCCCTCCCAATTAAAAAATGCTTAAAGGTTAAAAGCAAAACCAAAGTTCTTGGAAGAAAATACTGAAGAATTTCCCTAAGAATTTAAGTGTGCACCACATGTATATGAGGTATTTGTGAAAGCCAGAAGTGGATGTTGAATTCTGTAGAAGTGGAGTTACGGATAACTGTCAATGGGAGAAACAACTCTCACCTCAAAAGAATAAAGGGAACACTTTATCCTAGAGCATGTATGAGTGACCATGGTCCAGGAACACAGATTCAGATTATCCCAAAATTCTATGTTCCAATGTGGAAGCAGTTTTGTGTTTCATCAAGTTTTTATAGTCTTACAGAAAGGAGGAAGTCCTAAGGCAAGCTTCAAGTACATTGGTGGGTACACCAGAGAGGAAGGTACAGTGAGATGGGGGAAGCTATTCCACAGGCCTAAGATGCTCTCTGATGGCATCCTTAGCTTTTGGGTTGGTGGAAGCTAGCGTTGTGCTACAGCAATAGAGTCTAAAAAGTTTTTAAACTATTGTCACAAGATGTTAGCTCCAATATGGAGTGGGCCAAAGAATGGCTGTTTCAAAAGGGCTAAAACTAGCCCAAGATAAGGTAACTAGTCTCTGAACCTACAAAATTTCAGTTTCACCAGTACTGGAATGCCAATTTTTCAGAATTTCTTCCTAGAATTGTTTTAATTCACAACCAGACACAGCTTCTTTTCAGGTATCTTCATTTCACAACTGTGAACTGCCATGTGGGTCCTGGGCACCCAGTCCAGGTCCTCTGTAAGAGCAACAAGTACTCTTCATCACAGAGCCATCTCTCCAGAACCTTCCCTAAGAATTTAAAGAGAAATATCTTAAGGAACAAAGTACTATCCATAAAAAGGTTGATAAATGTGGTAGCTAAAATGTTATCAGTTATAATGGGAGAAAGCACACACATGGGGCAGAAGATAATTGGAGCATGGGTAACCAACAAAAGACTTGTATGCAGAATATATAAAGAACCTGTATGAGTCAACTTTCAAAATTGGCAATGTAGGAAATGAGCTAAATAACAGGCACAGGCAATTTCACAGAACAAACATCTGAATCCTAAATATGGAAGGTTATCCTGCTTTGGGCAAATGCACACTAAAAATAAACACACACACACACACACACACACACACACACACAAACACACACAAATCCTTTTTGGGCAGTGGGCTGGCAAGTCTGACATGCAAGAGTTGGCCAAAAAAAGGGGTCAAGTGGAGTTCAAATACAGCTTGAACAAATTTTCATTCACTTAGAAAACTGAGTTCTGGGACAATGCACCCCACTACTCATCCAGAAAGGTTAAAGGTAGCGTCTTCATATCATCGCAATGAGCAGGAGCAACTCCCATCTTTCACAGGAGAATAGGTCATGACAAGTGGTATAAAGAATTCTAGGTTAGAGAATTGTCCACCATGTGAACATTAGAAACCATGTAGAATATATTCAAAAGCTGGGAGGCTGATAGGAGAATCCTTAGTTTGAGGTAATCCTGGGCTACAAGGTTAGATAGTCAATAGATTAAATAAAGTTAAACAAGCTAAGGTAAATATTGCCTAGGGACATGTGGACCCAAGTAATTTTGAGAGAGAGAGAGAGATTTTTATTGCTATTATATATGATATGAGAAAAGATGAGATGATATGGGAGCCAAGGGGAGGTGGGAATATGGCTCAAGGGTTAAGAGCACTTGGTGTTGCGGAGGACCTAGATTTGGTTCTCAACACCCACATGGCAACTCACAACCATCTATGACTTCATCTGTTAGGGTTCCAATACCCTCTTCTAGCCTCCATACACAT